AGATGTTCCAGGCCCCTGATCATCCTGGTAGCCCTGCGCTGGACTCTCTCCAGCAGCTCCACATCCCTCTTGTCCTGGGCAGCCCAGAACTGGACACAGTCTCCAGATGTGGCCTCCCCAGGGCTGTGTAGAGGGGCACGATCACCTCCCTCGTCCTGCTGGAGACGCTCTTCTTAATGCACCCCAGGATCCCGTTGGCCTTCTTGGCCACCAGGGCACACTGCTGCAAGTGCAGGACCCTGCACTTGCCCTTGTTGAACCTCATGAGGTTTCTCGCCGCCCAGTCCTCCAGTCTGTCCAGGTCCCTCTGGATGGCAGCGCAGCCTTCAGGGCTATCAGCTACTCCTCCCAGTTTGGTATCAGCAGCAAACTTGCTGAGGGAGCACTCCAGCCCCTCATCCAGGTCGTTAATGAATAAGTTGAACAGGACCGGACCGAGGTCTGACCCCTGGGGGACACRGCTAACTAAAGGAGGAACCTTCACCTCACTGCTCTTACTCAGAAGAAAGCTCAAGTTGGACTAAATGGACAAGAATGGACATCTGCTAAAATTCTAACGGGTCCCAATTCCGACTTGGTTCTGTAAGCCAGGAGTGTACTGTGGTTGTTGTCACAAATGTTGTCACACTTCTGAACGCGAAATGTCATGTCACTTAAGTACTTTTCCTTCATATCAACAGTTAGTTCAGGTGCAGCTGAGACTATGATTCTCCTCACCTGTACCCTAGAGATACAGTTCTTAAACAGAGCTCCTTAACAAGTCTCTTTGGACAACAGCAGATCATTTGGTTCACCCTTAAGGAATGTTAGTTTTGTTTTTTGAAAGAGAAACACAATAGCCTTCAGCCTTGTACCTGCGTTGGCTTAACGAGAATTATTGCTCTGTGTTTTGGACACAGCTTCATTCCCTACTCTAGCGCACTCTGAAAACACATTTCAGTAGTAAATAACACAAGTTTGAGGCTGGCTGTTGTGGTGCACTCTCTACTGTCTGAACTCTCCCAAGAGCCCTTCTCTCTCTACAAGCCATGCTTCTGGGTAAAGAGACATCCTTGGTCTGATGCAGAAGTGTTTATCCAATACCCTCTGGTCTTTGTGCAGAAAGAACTGAACCAGGCAAAACCAYCAATCATTCCTGCTGACAAAAGTGCTATGAAAGCTTTCCTTCATACCTTTAAAAACAGAAAGTGAGTGAATGAACTACATCACAGCTGACAAGGTAGAATTCCAAGATATATTTGGGACATCTGATAAATTACAACATTATCCAGATCAGAGTTTAATTAGGAAGACACTGTACATCAGCCATGGCTCCAAGGCCACAATTACAAATCTGTTCTATAAAACCTGAAAAMAGCTGCATCGATTTGTCTACCACATTCCAGGCAACTGAAATATAAAAAGCCTCTCTGTAGGAAAAAAGGTTGGTATGGTGAACAGTTTAAGGATGAAATCGATATACATTCCTATTATTTCTCTTTAGAAAGTGGGAAAAAAACGATCAAACTCTAATGGGTTAAGCACTCTACAGAAAAAAAAAAAACAGAAAAAAACTTAAATTACAAGGTTCTTCGCAGATTCACAAGTCTTAGGTGCTTAGCACCAAGAAGAGAAACCCAGGCAGTACTTACCCAGCAGTGCTGACTTACAGCTCTATACTATTAAAGCATTACTATAAACACCATTCGTACACGTGCAGTTTGATTTCTGAAGAACTAAGTATGTCTGACATTCATTTGCCAGCTGCATTATTGCAGCTATAATGTAAGAAGTTTACAAATGACTCCTTATTTGTTTCCTAATGAGTTATTTATCTAAAAGTTCGTGACTCAGCTTAAGGATATATGCACTATATATCCCCAACAGAACTGAGTTATTCTATTTTATTGCCTAAAAGCCAGTAGGCAACAAAGAGGACAGTTAAAAGCAGTGGCGAYGCTTATTACTTACCAAGAGCAATATACATTCGCTGTTTGAAGCTGATGAGTAAGGTACGTTGTACAAAGAACAAACGCAGTGTTTTCTTGTCCTTCAGATTCCAGATTACATATGATGTCCAGTACTTCCTTGCAATCCACCTTTGCAATCTAGAAGAATGAAAAAAGGCAGTTCCTTCTGAGCAATTGTACAAAAAAAAAAAAACAAAACCCATTTATTACATCAAAGAAAGTAGTGTCAAAAATGCATTAAAAAAAACCCACTCATTTCTTTTAATATCCAGGGTTCCAGTGACAGCTTTTGGCTACAGAAGGCACTAAGAGTTTCTACCAGCTAGTTCTCAYACTTTTCAGTATCGCTCTTCTTTACGATTGCCTATTTTGGAGTCCATCAAAATACGTAAAGACAATACTTCAAATAAAACTCCCTATTCCCCCTCACTGATTGCAGGCCATACACAGTATTTGTAGCACATTATTTTATAGGATTTATTCCACTTCATGAAATAGACTGCACTTAAGGAACATTTACTCTAATCAGCTGTTATTACTATAAAAAATACCACACACTAATCATGAAAAATGAGGATACAGAAAGTACCGGGGGAATTTTAAAATCTACAAATTAATTTTTACAAGCATCTAGTTAACCGGAAAAAAAGACAAACAGAAATTATCCTGTTTTCCATACAAGTTTGACATGGGATTTTACTGCACAAAGTCAGTATCTTCTAGGATCCACTGACTCTTGACCTTCAGCGTGAGACCCATGATGACCTCTTGCAGCAGGTATTTTTAGAGCACTTTACGAGCCACAGCTGCTGCAGATGTGCAAACCAACCAGTTTTRTATTTAGAGGATTTTGGTCAGGGCTTGGTCACTGAGTCATTTCTAGTGAGACAGAAACTTTAAGTTCCCACTTAACGTGACAGCACTTTAAGAGAACAGATGTCATCGTCCCACTCCTATGGTTGCCAGGGGCAGCATTACAGTATCTACAGATCAAGTGCTACCTCTAGGGAAGATGGGGGGGGAAAAAAAGCATATATCATGAGTACATTTTAAAACAGTGATGTATTCAAAATCCTTTGCATTTTTAATCTTCTGGGGACTCGGCAAAAGCAGATTTATATTCCTACTGCATTAACCAGCTTTCTCTCTGGAACAGATTTCATTTAGCCTATCAAGTAGGAYGTTTCCATCCCCTTGAACTGGGCTGACAAATAAATCACATGCTGGACTTCCCAAAACCTGTACTCTGCCACTTCTGTTGTACCAACTTGTGGTAGACTCTTCAAGATCAAACCTATCATCTCCGTAGTTATCCCTCTCTATAGTTCTTAATCCTTCATTCACTCCCTGCTCTGCTTCCACTTTTCTTCTATACAAACTACGTCGTTCCCTACCAGGATTCTTTCTGCTCTTTTCTTACTGTTCCCAGCTGAAATCTCTCCTTAACCAAGTCTCAGTCCCAAAGTTACCTGACATTTTCTACTCCAAGTCTATCTCCAAACTTGGAGCACTACAAAAACCTGTTCCTCACCTCACCTCTCATTGCTTTATTCAAATACAGGCCTGGAGGGGAAGGAACAATATTGGAGCAAACGGGGGAAACACCACAACACTTCAAATGATTTTATGCTATAGCTACACTAGCTACACACTCTTGTTCTGCACTAACATCATACCTCACGCTTTCTTCCAGTAGCRATTTCAAGAACAGATTGCATTCAAAACTGTGTGGGTAGCACTGAAGGAACAGAAAAAGAACTTTCAGAATAATCACTGGTCTGGCATGTCAAATTTGCTGTAGGGTACTGGAGCACACTGTGTCTTGAAACGCAGGAGATGACAGTTAATTAAGAGGTTACACTCACAATATCCTCAAGATGCAGGCAATACCTTTCTTATGATCTGAAGGTATGCACTGACACGTTCTTCCAGTTTGTGGGAAATTCATGAGCTCAACTTCTATCGCTTCCCTTCATTCAATTATTCCTGTCCTATGGAAGCTACAAGACACATGAGTACATCTTGCAACACAAATTAGGAAAATAAAATTACACAAACCCAATTTTTTTTTCTTCTTAATTTTCTTCAATTATGCCCTTTCTCAAATATTGCCACATTCATTCTTAAAAAATGCAAGAGACTGCAGTGGTGTGCTACCAGCCTGTTCTTCCACGTCTACTGTCATCTTTGTGTCTTTTTTTTTTTATATTATTTAAATAGTTATTGGTGCAAACAAATACAGGATGCATTTCTTCCAGACATCAATCATCATTAAACTACAGACTTAAAATCTAACTAGGTTTTAATCAGGCTRCAGTGACCAAAGCCCTTAGACTTGCACTGTAAAGCCACCTGCATCATCTACCATTCTTATCAGCTGTTTCAGAGGGGATTGGACCAGCAAGTAGAGCAGTTAATAACGCCAAGATTTGGCACAGGTGGAGCGTTTGGTAAATGCAGTAAATCTGGGACAGTGTTTGGTTAGGTTCTCTATCAGAAACCTAGCCAGACTGCCTTCTGAATAGGAGTTTAGACACAACAGAACACATGCTCCTAAGGTATTTTATATTAAAATTGTTGAAAAATGCTGTTATTCTCCCTGTATAATCTCGCATCACGAAGACACCCATTTACACTTGCAGATTTACTGCACCCAATGACTGTAAGAGACTGATCTCTGTTTTGTCTGTCTTGTCATTTAGTTTATATTAAAAATAAAGAAACTGAGAGTAATTAAATCATTAAAAGAACAATTTTTTAGACTATAAGAACACCGTTATTTTAATAACAATTCTACTACCACTATCTTGAACCTTCTACCTTTTTAATTAAAAAGATTTATTTRTTTTTATTATGTTGTTTTATTACATTAGCACACCTTAAAAAAGGTGATATTAAACCCTACGTATCTAGCGAGACTTTTTTTTTCTTTCGGGAGCTAAAAATACACCATCAAGGGATTAAAAGCAATTTTATTTCTACTCAGACTGTAAGATTAAGCTAGGACAGCTGTCAGTAAGATAGCTCTTCTTGTGTCAGTTTGAAGCTATCAGGAAATAAATGGCCCCCAAAAGGCAGAGCTACAGTTCAATGGCCTAACTTGCCAGATCATTTATACTCGTTTCAACCTTCTGCTTCATTGCTCTGTAATAGTGCCTTAGCCCACAGCATGTTTTTCTTTCAGCAGTTTACCTCATTTAGGATAAATAATTTGTTATACCTGCAAGAATAACAGCTGTTGCCTAGYTAAAAAAAATTATTAAAAATCATATTTTATAGCAGAAATACTAATCAAGACTAGAGAGCTTGCAGGGCAACGAACATAGACACTAAGTTCCTGCCATCTTCCAGCCAAATCAGAAGTTAGGGAAGGAAGCGGAAGGAAAGGAACATTTGGGTTAACTTGCACACAGAAACTCGACCCAATCTAGAAAGGCTTCTGCAAATGGCCCCGGGAGGAGTTCCTGTCCTTCCCTTGGCATTTAACAAGTTTCCCTTTCACTTCTCTCAGTTACAGARCCCCTCCCACACTTCCTCATTCCTCTGCTGATGTTGTCTGTAGAATTTAAGAGATGACTGCTTTTAAGTTTCCAATTTGTRTGAGGGAGATTATTTTAATGCAAGTGGAAGCAATTTTAATTGGCTCCACAAAGCTGTTGTGCTCAAGCCAAGCTTTGMGAGGAGTAAATCAGAGAGCACTTTCGGCTTTGTTTCCTGCAGAGGAACAGGAGATTCTTGTAAACGTAGATGTTTAGCTACATAGTCACATTATACATGTGCACTAACATCATGTCAAGGACTAGAAAGTCCTTGAAATAATACACATATAATATTTCCACAGTASTAGTTCACCAGCCTTAACTCTTAGGAGAGCAGAAATCTGACTTGAGTCTAACTAGTGTTTGCAAGCTCCTTCTACAGTAAGGATTTCCCTAAGAGTTAATGGTCAAGCATCCTGGATGTCTGCTTAGGAGGTGAGGAATTGCATATTCTCCTAAGTCATTATAGAGACTCTGATGTCCAGTTCAGGTAAGTGTCCTGCAGAGACCTGAAGCTGAAGACTTAAGTGATCAAGAGATCTTCTACTCCTTTCTGAAAGGATAAACTGAAAGGCAAGTAACAGGGAAAAGGTTGCAGAATCCCCTGCATAGATCCTGGATCAATATGTAATTGCCAGCAGCAGCATCACTTCACATGAGCCAGGACTGCAAGGGGATAAACATACAGAGTCTATCCTTGAACAAATTATTGATCTTCAAAGCTCTCCAAGCTATCTCTACTCATCCTCATCCTTTCTGTACCACTTAGTTTCTTTGCTAAGCCCTGTTCCACCACCCTATTCTGAACTTCAAATTTCACTCAACCTTGTTTCCTTTATTACCAGTTAATTTTCTCTTCCCCCCACCAGGTTTTCAGTCATTTCCACCTCCTGTTCTCCACAGCCATTCTTCTATGAGCTCTTCATCCTTCGTCTTTTTTCAGTCTCTCCCTCTTCCCCCTTTTTCATTAGGCCCAACAACTCTACCTGAGGAAGATGATGAGCAACATAATAATATTATATAAGTTGCTACCCATCTTTTCAAAACAGTGGTACATTTAAGAGTTTGTTTTCAAGAGTTTAATTGATGTAAACACCTTCATTTTCTCATAAACAGTTTGATTAAATGAACATTTGATTCAATTAATCAATCCTCATTCTAGAGCACGTGGCCCAGGGTCACATCCAGGCAAGTTCTGAAGATCTCCACAGGAGGAGCCTCCACAGCCTCTCTGGGCAGCCTGTTCCAGGGCTCTGTCTTCCTAACAATAAAGAAGTCTCTTCTCCCGTGCAGATGAATTTGCTGGTGTTTCAATTTGCACTCACTCCCCTATCTCCTATCACAGGCCACCACTGAGGAGAGTTTTGCCCTATCCTCTTTACCTTCTCCCCTCAGGTATTTGTACATGTCGGTGTATTCCCTTCTCAAGGTCCAACACACCCAGCTCCCTTCAGCATCTACCTTATGAGGAAAGCCTAAATGGTCTTTGGTCACTGCTGGAGCAGGGGGTTGGACTAGGTGATCTCTAGAGATCCCTCCCAACCTCAACCATTCTTTGTCTCTAGCTTTTATGATAGATGGAAAAAATGAAGCATCTTCTATATATCTAGACACAACAGCTTAGTTGCACCTTACAGTTGTTAAATGAAACTAAAAWCTGAAGAGGTTTTCACCAATTTCTAAGCAAGTGATCACCTTGTAGCCGATGCAATGGCAGAATGGGCTGGAAGTTAACTACACATCCTCAAAGAACATCCCTCCAGCATGAGTACAAAACAGACTGCTGTGAGCAGGTAAGTGCATTCACTGATCCTTCAGTGCAAACCGAGTGAAAACTGTCTTAAACTAAGGAGTTTCTGACAGGGGAGTTACCCAGATGCCTTTTTTTTTTGTGTGTGTGTGTGTGTGTGTGTGTGTGTGTGTGTGTGTGTGTGCTGTTTAAGCAGATCACATGTTAAGCATTTCACATGGGAAATAAACACTCTAAACCAGCCTTCCAGCAACTCACTGGGAGGAAGAGACATCCACATTCCTTTTTGGGTACAGCTCATCTTCCCACAGTTCAACCAAGACTTACACAAAACCTTCAAGTCTAATCTTCAAAAGGTTAACACTAAACACTAAAAACTAACACTAAACATTTACCTCTAACCTTGAAGGTAATAAAACAACAGGTAGGYGAGATCAAGAGGCAACAGAAGCAGGAGCTGTATGATTATAATGTCTTAATAAAAATTATTACTATGCAATAGAACAAGAATAATTTGTTCTGACTGCTGGAAAAAAAAAAAAAAAAAAGGATTCTTAGGCAATTGACTCCAAAATTTTTAGCTTTTCTTTCTCAAGTCATAGACTTGACCACTTGAAGTACTAGCATTTCCAAGTCAGAAAGGAGAGCTTTCCACTTATACTTGGTTTATGAGGGTAAGTCAYGAGCTTTTTTTAAAGTATTTTCAGGCACACCTAAACTCCAAAGCATCCAAACCAGCAGTTAGTACAAAAGTGCTCCTGGGGATTACTAACCTCCTTAATGGAGTCTTCATTAGGCAGCATAGAACACACACAGGTGATGTAGGCTTGGCGAAAAGAAGAGGCATTTGCAATTTCTGAAGAATCTGCACACAATTTTGATAAGACAGTAGCTTGTGGGATGCAGTTTGACTTCATCAAGTGCTTTATTCGCATCTGCAGAAAGGAAGGCCCTTCTCGTGTAATCAATTTATTAGCTAGGAAAAGAAAACAGCCTTTGAGAATATACCCATTTACAGCTGACATGTAGCTGAAACTGTCTCACTGCACTCACACTTTATTTCATAACAAACTCATTTAGAGTATGCTCAGCTTTCTTTTAAAACTCTAGTGTCATAAAAAGCAATAATAATTATTAGAAAATTTTGTTCCATATGAATCAAGTACAACAGAGTAAGAATTGGACTACAGAAAACAGTCATATAAAGAAATAATAATATTTTTATATAACATTAAAAATATATAATAATAATAACGCTATGGCATAATAATTAGGCCATAGCAGAGGCTAAAGGGCAATGCTAGCACCAYGCAGTGCTTGGAAGAGCACACCAGTAATTGAACTGAGATACAGCCAAGGTTTGGTATCTTCATTTTTAATTAGAGCATCATGTTTTAACAAACCCAAATATATTTCAAAACGCTATGCACCGATTTCAAAGACTTTTTTCACCCACGATGTTAAGAACCAAAATAAAACCAAAACATGCAAAATGAAGTCCTGAGTGAAAACTGTTCCTTTTTAGGACTTTAAAGGAATAGATCGTAAAGCTAGTATGTCTCATACACTAGCTCAACCAAATAATCTCTCACAATGATGATCAGCTATAGGTCAGCCAACTGAATATTGCTGATATAACTGGAGAGTATTTTGAGCAAATTTCACTGCCACTAAAATTCAAATACCTAGGAGCTCCCTAAGTAATCAGGATTTTTTTTTTAAGCTCAAAAACCTAACAGAGTGAGAAAACACAGATTTAGTCTCTTTCTAGGTGCTCAGCATGCACTTTTTCTTTTCTTGAAGCATGCCATTTCTCCAAATAACTATTCAGATAACTGCTTTCTATTCAAACAGAAGGGCAGCTTGAGATAAGCCTCCAAGTTGCTATATATTTCAAAAAGACAATCAAATTAAGAGGAAAAAAGGTCAATGCGTTCTTGTATTGCACATAATTCTCTCTGGCACAGTAACTGGCTCCTGCACGCAAGGCAGGCAGCTGAGAAACCAGCAGCATCAAAATTTAGAAGAGGGACCACACAAATGCAAAACAAGGAAGTTCTTGGCTTTCTGCATTTTCCTCCACACTGAAAAGAGCACCTTCCAAATGCTTCTTTCAGGTACCAGGTATATACTATGTGACTGTAGTGAAGTTTCCTGGTATTTTGCATAGTTTTTCCTTAGCAGACTGTCAAATGTCATTTCAGGATTCAAATCTGTGGTTTACTTAGAGGAATAAACACTAGTCATACAAGACCCTGGCATGTCATGTTGAAGGAACTTCAGAGTGTGTAAAAAAAGCCTTCTGATCATGAGATAACTTGCAATAAGGTCTCAAGTTGCTAAGAAACAAGTATCCTCTCTCAAAAAATTAACTGTGCATCATACTGTGCTTGAAATTTTAGCAAGAAAAAAACTTAAGTCTCTATTTTTATGTATGTGTGCGTGTGTATGTGCATACACACTTGTATGTACAGTGTGTATGTGTGTGTGTGTCCATATATAAAATATATATTCTACTTGATACTAGAGACTCCTACTAAAATAAACTGGCCAAGAGACCCTCATTAAGGAAGAGTTATGAAGTTTTGCCTACTCCAAATTGAAACAAGCAACCCAATTATGTAAAATATACTACCAATGCAACAGATSTAAGTGATTTAGGTAGGAGGAAGTCTCCTGCATCTGTCTCTAGGAGTTTATTTTGTCTTAGCAACTAGTTTTCTTCTGAATTCACCCAGCCACCTGCTTGTAGCAGCCTTCCTTTCCCTGAAGACAAACAAAAGCTATTTTCCCTGRCTACTGCTCAGTTGTTCTCCCCCTCTTACTTAATTTTGTACCCATCCATACTGTTAKTTTCATAAGATGCCCGTGAACAGGTTTTGTCTTTTTGCCTCTTGGAGACCTATGAGTGTGCTTTTTCTTGCTGAATGTTCTGTGTCATTGCTCTGCTGAGCCTCTCAGTACTAAAACAACTTGCTATAAAATTAATGYCAGGATACCTAGCAACACATCCCTCCTCCAGATCCTTCAGAATGGTAAAATATCAGTGGAGGTTCAGGTTTGAATGGGTTGAGTTGCAGCAGATAAGGATGTAAGAGTTATCTCCACCCAAAAGACTGGAGCACAAGATGAATTGGAAGACAATATTAAGAGGACATAAAGCCTGAGGAGTGTTAAGGCATGAAGAGATGCCACAGTCACTGGAAAAACTGCTCAAAAAAGAACAGCATCTTGAATGAGCATTTCCAATGAGAGGACCACTGGAATAGAAGGATAATTTTAAGTGCACTAAGTATGCCGAAATGGCAATAAGGTGGAAAAGCTCTCAGCCCAAAGCTGCGTAGTCTGTACTGTGCAACGTGCCACAAACGTCCATTGACACGAACTGGTTTGTGGGCGAGTTGGGAGACCTCTGAGGATGTCGGTACCCACTTGCCATGCACAGCAACACGCTCAGGTTCAGCCCTCCTTCCTCCCTACCTCACACCATTTGCTGTTAGTACTCCCCCCAAATAATGCTGATATGACAAGTTTAAAAGCCAGCTTCTTTAGGAGAAAGTCAGAAATTAGACTGGTGATAGGCATTTATTATCTATCTTGGAGATGCTCTCATCAGTCTTTCAGTGAGCTAAAAGGCACAGCAATAGCGCCCCTAGGGGGTTTTCCTAAAGTAAATATTTAGGATAAGAACCAGGCAAAGAAATTAAGTTTGGGGTAACTGAAATAGAATATCTTAAGAATGGAAAATTAAAGCTAAGTCACCATATAGCTGGATGTAAGACCATCACATAAATCAAAAGAGTGACAGTACAAAAGGACAGAACTTTGTTAACTATTCAGTGACATTAAAAAAAAAAAATCAGCTACAAATATTTAGCTGATCAGMACATATTTTATGATTCTTGGGGAAGAGGACCTTCTTGATCCAGCAGACACCTAGAGACAGTTCCTTCATCCAGGCTCCAATCATATTTGCACAAGGTCAAAAGAATATTTTCAACTAACCAGAAAAACAAGACCATAACACGTTAGCATGGATTTTTCCTTTTTTTCCCCATTTTCCACAGGATATGCAAGTTTAGTTCAAACACTTTCGTCAAGAAAAAAAAGGAAGCTTTTCCATCTCTTATAGATGTTCTTAATCTATTTTTCTCCCTGTATCATTTTAAAGTTCTCTGACTCACAGTGACTCATGATACGTGTTATGGGGACTTTCTGAATCATTATTTCATAGCTGGCTACAGTTACAGAAGACTGAAATCTTCAGCCTACATAACCCTTCCTGGTCTTACGGTCTCTCACAACCCTCTGCAATCGTCTATATCTGTTTAACATATGTTTTAATAAGAATAATGAATAAGAACAATGACAGAACAACAACTTGCTTCTATGTAAGGAGATACAACTTGGTTACTGAGAAGCATTATTTACATGCATTTTCTGCTTTTTTCAAAAGATGTGTGCATACACTAATCCTGCCACCAGTCATTCAAGGCTAACAAACCATTTAAAAGAGTTCTGCAAGAGATACCACTTTAAGGATTAATTTTTTTTTTTTTTGAATTTCTATTAGAAAAAACACTTTTCAAAGACGGAATTTAAAGAAAAAAWTGAATTCATAGTGATAAAAGTATAGCACAACTGAAGATGCCAGTTTATGACATGATGATGGATTATTCAACAATGCCAGTGAGACAGTTTCAGCATAAAGATCATTTCGTAGCATATGAATACTACTGTACAGAGCAATGTGAAATCCCACTTCCCTTTTGATTTCAAGGCACTGTTCCCCCCACAACTGCAGCAAGTTCTCACTTAATAACCATGTCTCATTACTAGAAGTCAAATTCTTACCTTCCTCTGTTTCTACTGGCTGCTGGGACAGAATTTTAAGAAGAACTGGATTTTTCCATACTCCTTCCTTTGTGATATCCACCAATACTTGAAGGTTATTATTCCCAAATTCCAATAAAGCATCATGTGAATCCTATAAAGTGAAGGAAAAAACAAAAACACATATCCAGTATTATAAGCTTCTGTTAAACATAATTTTTCATCATCTGCCCTCATTTACTGTATTCTAGTACTTCACACCATTCTTCTGTGACATCATTTTGACATGCTTGTCTCGGGAAATTAGAAGTACAAGATTCCCTACATTTAAATCTTCTAATTTCCATCTGCTAAAATTTAACTCAAATTGCTTCTTGACCTGAAGAGTCTAAACAAGAGTGGTGGCTTTAACCAGTCAGGCTGGTTCTTTTAGAGGAGTTTTCTTTTGAGGTCATAGCAGTGTGGATTTTCCTGCCTGCCCATCACACCTTTTATTTCTTCCGAAGAATTGAGGTGAGGGAAGCAGCAGCCAAGCTGAGCAGGGACCGTATTTTGGACTACCACATCTGATTTGGTAAAATGCAAAGTAAATACTTGCTATTCTGAGCAAAATGACAGAAGGAAAAAAAAATCCCACAAAACAAGAGCCCCGTGGACCAGCAGAGGCTGCTTAGCTGACGGCCACAAGCTATAGAAGCTCCTAATAGTCAAGGTAGGTGCAGACAAGACAAAGACACACCAGTAGCATCTCCTTGGAGCCMGCAGGCAAACCAGGTACGGAGCAGTCCTGGCAGGAACAGAGGCAGCAGGCTGACACTTCTATCACCCTYTATTCGGGTGGCAAATCCCCCAATACATGTACTGCATTTGGACAACATCTCCAGTACGACATCTTTGATGGAGAGAGTCTAGCAAAGGCATTTCATTAGAGTCTATTAAATACGTGAAAGAGAGAGCAAAAGCAGAAAGTTTTAGGGCTGTCTTCATCTTCATTATAATTCTTTGTTATGATCTCCCTGGTTGGAGCCCGACTCTTGGTGTACAGGGAGAAGGTGAGAATCAATAAATACAAGGTACATGAAGAATAGTATTTGATCAAGTATCAGGAAAAAAAGAATCTTCCAGAGTTTGAACACCCCAATTTGTGAAAAGATTACTCAAAGTAAGCTACCCCCATTCTTGGGGATAGTTAAAATTGCATGGGGCGGGGGCCTGAGCAACCCAATTCAAGTTAGCCCTACTCTGAGGAGGAAGGTGGACCAGATAACTTCAAATCTCACTTCCATCTCAGAACTCCCTCTCAATACAAGCAAGTCAATGGCTCTTTCCCCAAGAAGAGTCACTGCTCATTGCAGGCTCTTTTCCTGCATCAAAGGCTGCATTTATTAAAGTTCTAAACACACTTGTTGTCCAGTCAGTGATTTCGCCTTGCACTAGTTCTGGCTACAGTAACAAAACCAAAATAACATAAAGTGCAAGTAAAGAGCACAAATCACTCCCTTCCAAACTCAGAAGTGCAGTGCAGATTTCTAACCTGTAAGAGACAACCAATTTAATAGTGCAACAGTTAAATGCCCTATCAATTCTATCAGATTTGACAATCTTCCCCAAAAGTACCCCAGGCCTTCTGCAAGTATTGCTTCAATGGTAATTTTGCTGGTAATTATTATAATTGTTCTCAGCTTTTAGCTTCTAGTATGCTTGCTAATTAGAACCCTCAATTAATGACTAAATTAATTTAAAAAATATTAGTACTAAACTAACTAGCAAGACCACCTTAGCACCAGCTGAGATCAGCAGCGATCAGCTAATTTGCAGAAACAAGCTCCCAAAGGTAGCAAAGTGGCCTTCACAACAGCTAGTTTCTGCTTTCCTAGTTTTCGGATTCAAGGTTAAATGAGCCCTTGAGCCTGAAATCGTCCTCAAAGCAATCAAATGCTACATTCCTTATAGGAACAAATAAACAATGTAGACCGTCACGGCTGCATGCTGAAGACTCAGGTGACCTCGCGTACTCTTAACCAGGGCTTAAACTGCTCTTAACCAAATGCACTGTGARTCTAAAGATAAGTAACAATACAAAGGTTTCAAGGTGCATTTATGCATTTGGAAATATCACTTAAGCAATCCTTATGTGCACCCACTCGTTCCTACTCAAGTCTTTCCTTCCTGTGTATGACAAGTCAGATCAGGAAACCTAATTCAACCTATGGCTATGGATAGCCATAGGGTAGGAGGGATTTCCACCCTTTTCCCCCCAGCTCGGATCAATTCCTGAGCTCACAGCTAGATGGTTTGTCAGGAGAGTCACCGCCAGCTGAATGAGAGAAAATACTTAAATCAACACCATGGTCAGGGAGTGCGGAGCCTCAGGACAGCTTTAAAGATGCCACTGGATTACAGGAMACAGAGCTGTATTTGTATTTATGGATCCACAGCCACAGGCTGTGCACTCGGAACTCCTACCCGTGCCAGTGCTGGGATCAAACAGAAAAAACCTCTGCGTGCCTTTTTTATCATTAGACTTTTTTTTTAAATCTTTTTTAATTACCAAACAATAAACAAACAAGTAGGTGGACTCCTTTATTTTACCAAGAAATAAACAAATATATTTTGATCACAAACCAAAAGCAAACCAGGTCCATTCTTTTTAAACAGAACATTACCATGTAATAAGAGTCTTTTCACTAGACTAGGTTGCCATAGCACCCATTTTGCGTCTCCCTCACACCTACTAACATTACAGCTTTAAGCTTCATCTTTCCCAAGCATTCATATATAGATCAGGCCACAGACTAAATCTAAAAATTATTAGCATTTAATAGCCTGCAAGTTGGCCTCAAGATTGACCCCAAAAAGCTTTTACAGAGTCGCAGGATTACATGAAGAAATTCGGCATACATACAAGGGCTTGAAAAGAGGTGGAGCTAACCAAAATCCTTCCAATCRATTTGTTATCAATAAAGGCAAGAAGTGTTGGCCTTCTCCACAACATAACTTTTCTAGAAGAGAATAATAAAAGCACTACTTTTAAACAGCACGTTTTCTTGAAGAAAAACAAAACCCAAAACAGCTGGAGAGTTCTTAGCCCTGGGCTTCTGAAGCTCAAAGTAGTCAACATTCTTCAGATTCTTTGCAGAAGACTTCAATAAACCATTCATAAAATAATTAGAAGTTTCACCACAAGCCTGTGCTCCAACTCCTAGCGTCACTTGAGTAAAAGCACATAAATCACAAGTGTCTAGTTCTTACTGCTGAGAAAGAACAACAAATGAGATGGGAGAACCTCCCAAGTGCTTTTTACATAGGAATGAGTCTGCAAGGTATAGACGTAAAAAGCCTTTAGYACACACTACAACAGCAATGGTACCCAAATAGCTGATCCAGCATTCACCAGTTAGACAGGACTAAGTAAGATTTTCAGCTATGTACAGTTCTGTAAGACAAAGAAAGAGAAAGAGCTAACTCCTGGTTAGATAAAGTCAACATCTGTATTCATAGAAGGGGCCCTCACAAGCACTTGCCAGCCAAGAGCAAGTGCCAAAGAGCAGACAGGGGAGTTTGTGAATGATACTCTGCCAACGGCAGCTGAGATCTGTTCCTGCTTAGTGTTATTTATCTCAAATGTCTCTGTTAACAAGTTGTATGTTCTACAAGTGCTGGAAGCTACTGCCTCACAGAGAGGTACATGGAATGGAGTATTCACATCTTTTCCCCGCTATTGCCTTTGAAGCGGAACATTGTTGACAAAAAAAGGACAAACTTATGATGTAACAACTCGGCAAAAGGAATCTTTGTCCTGCTGCAAAGACTGCTGTCCCTCAAATGACAATCTGCAGTTCAGACATCCAGCACACATAGTTGGAATTTTCTTCTAAGAGAAGCTTTTCCCTACCCGAGGGCCTATAGACACAGCACAGAGCTAAATTCAGTTATGAGGATCATTCAAGTCTCAGCACCACTGTATCAGGCACTCCAGACAAAAACAAACAGGACTTAGCAAATAAGAAAGAAGGGACCGACTTCAGCAAATCAGCTGACCTGGTCACAATTTACAAAATTCAAAATACATCATATTCATTTATATATAAAAATGAACACCAACTATAAAAACTCATCATCATCAAGCACAATTAAAAAGATACGAACCATACATTCCTCTTCTAGTCCATTACTGAGACCGCAGGAAAATCTTGCCATTAATATTAACTTTATATTTAAGAAAACCACTAAACATACTAAAGCTAAAAAAACAAAATTAGAGTGGAAGTCCAGTACAAACCCAGAAGTTAGGGCAACAAAACTTGAAAAGAATTCTGGAGAAGGCCATACTGTAAAATATTTTATTCTGCCTCAAATCAGGGAAACTGCAGCAGTGAGACAATCTCCTACTTAGAAACAGAAATGAGATAAAAAGCCCTTCAACTTGGGAAGCACAGCTGTAAGAGCCTCCAGACAAAATGAAAGAGAATACACAACTTTAGAACAGTTTCCTGAAGATACCCGAATTCTTTAACACTGCGAATGTAAAGAGATCTGTAGCTGCTATGGTGTCACGAAAAAAGGTAGTTTTATACTCACTCAGTACACAACATCTCTAAAGAAAACAATAATGCTCTGTTAAGGTTGRAAGGAATTCTTGTTTTTACAGTCCACACTCAGTTCCCAGTACTAAAGATGCTCCCACTAAGAGTATCTTTGACAGCCTTTGTCATCTGATCGTGTAAATCCATCCCCACACTGGCTCTCACCAATCTGCCCCTCCAATTAATTGGGCTTACTTGTACAAAAGCCCTATTGCAAACTGTCCTAACCTATAGGGCCCCCTTCACTTCTGTTCTACAGCACACTTGCTTGACCTTGTTCCTACTCACATCCTTTTGTATGCTGACACTGCACAAAATCTTATGCTGACTTTTCTATACAAGTTTTCCAGACAAGCTTACATCCTGGTTTTACTTCATACAGGTTGCTTCTCATTTTGCTTAAAGCCCAGGAAAACCGGAGTTGTAAAGACAGGAGAGAGGACACAGAAGAATACAGCTACTCCTAGGAAAGAGCAAACAAGCTGAATTAACCAACCAATAAAGCTACTGAAAGGTTTCARGTTTCTTTTTTATTTCTGAGCTCTAAATTTAATTGCAGTTCCCCCGACTCCCAGTACCTGTACAACTTGCTACAAAACAAGAGCAAATACAACCAGGTCCAAGAGAAATATCTTCTTTCTCCCACATATCTTCTTTCTCCCACAAATTCCTATCTGCAAACTTTTTCAGGAGTGCCACTTCAAAACATTAGGAGCATCTGTTTGAAAGAGCTCACGAGCATCTTCTGCAAGGTCTATGTTTCAGAGTAAAACAAGCACAAGTTTCTCCCAGGTCTTTTAGTGTCTTACTGATACAGAGCACCAGGTTAGTCCTAAAACTCTGAAATAGCATCTTTTCAAAAAGTCTGTGTAAAAATCAATTATTCACTACATCTGCCAGAAGCATATTTCAAACCCTCCAGTAGTAATACAAGTAGAAATAACAGATCTGGGCTCCTGTCACTTCCCTGCCAGTGCAAATAGTTTGCCTCGACCATCTTCAGCCTCAAAGTCTGCCCACTCAACCAAAAATTTACTTTCTGCTGACAGAAATATCATAGCTTGATCACTAGCTTCAGAAACCTAGAAATACAACACATGTCTGAACTACTGGAAACTGTTCTCCTTGACAACAAGAATTCTCCTTGCAGATTCCTCCAATTAAGAGCTAGCAGCTCCTAGAATTGTCTTATCCCTCTGCTAGGGCATATAAAAAAAACCTGTTCTGTCCTGAACATGAGAACTCTTTTCCCCAGTCTGGGACAAAGTAGCTTTAAACAGAATATTCTTTTTATCATGAAGTAAGCCCACTCTTTATCTACAGATTAGTGAAGTTTAGGTAGCTTGGAAATAGTAAGTTTCAAACACCAACCAAACATCACCCCTAATGTAAAAAGTCGAACACCTGCAGAAGAGTCTCAGGTTAGTGTGGATGCTGCAATCACTGTAGTGGGAATGCAGTTCAGCTATGTGAAATGCCACAGCTTACAGGTCTGGACTATGGGTATAGTTCAGTATTCTCAAAATAAACTGGTATACCTCTAAACTTGGGTTTAGGGTGCTGCAATGTCTACCAAGATGTTCAAGAGAGACTAAGAAAGTCTTAGGAGCAAGTTCTGAGCTTACGCACCAGCACTCAAAAGCGAGAGACAGATTTTTGACATCAGTAAGACTTAGAACTTTGATTTTTAACCGCATTTTACCTACCATCAAAGGCCTTCCACCTCTAGCGCCACTTGTTTCTASGGTTACCACAACAGTACAGTTTCCAAGTGGGAGAAGAAAAGGATGTCTGTCCACCTGCGAAGCCACAGTCACAGACCACCTCTGTCCCTTCCACCGTTGACAGTGCTATATAACTTCATCAATCCACTTCTTTCAGTGTGCAGTGTAAGGATTATTCACTCCTCCTGAAGGATGTTTATTTTGCCAGGTTTCTCTGCCTGCATGCAGAAGCTCCTTCGGAGCCTCTATACATACACATTCAGAGCAACTGTAGCTGTGTCCAACCCTCACAGATAGAATCCCAGATCAACTATGAACAGTTCTGCACAAGGACATCCTCAAGATGCACATTCAATTCCTCTCAACTACTGCCAARCTGCTCATTGTGATAGCTTATTGTTAAAGCTGAGCGCAGTTGTAAAGTTTCATCACAGCTAGATCCAAAATAGGCACTGGCATAAGCAGATCACTCCCTGAGCCAGGAAGGCCTGACCAGTAAAGACAGAGAGAAGACTACCATTCCCACCCTCCAGCTCTATGGAAAATGCAAGTCCTTCTAGGCAGCTAGCTACTATCCCAAAGCAACAGGTACAGACCAATGCCTGGAACACACCTCTTTTTCCTACATCATCTACAGTAACTCCCTTCAGGTTTGGGAAAGGTGTAGCAATATTAGGAGCTTGTTACAGCAGCACCTCACAAGCTACAGCACTAGGGACTACATGGATTGGATATATTTCCTGGTATTTGCACCCCTCAAACTAGGAATAGATACCAACTTACCACTCAGATCTCTACAAAAACTTTTTCAGTAAAATAATACCTCATAGCTCTTGCATTACCCCATCCAACTCATGTTGGTTTCTCACACAATCCATTCAACAAATTAAGATTTGCTATGGTTCTCTTGCTGGAGTTACCACTAGTTCTGCAGCTACAACTCTGTTAATGGACCTTGTGCTGCCAATACTATTGCTGGGACCAATCGATGTCCCTAGAGAGATTCTCACCACCTAGATAACGGCAAGAGCAGGACAACAAGTCTGGATGAGGAAGGTGGATCAGAAGAAAGGCGAAACAACAGTAGCCTATCTTTTGCCAGACCCAAAAGCTCACAGCTTTTCCTCATTTTGGTCTTACCACTAATATTGTCCGTCACAGATGGGTCTTCTGCCACAATAATGGAGGCCCAGAGCCACCTCAGCAAGTCTTTTGATTATTATTTCTAACTGAAGCACAAAGAACACATCAGCAAACTGAGTGAGCCTCCTCTCACGCCGTCAGCAGTGACTTTTCAGTGACTCAAATCAGAATCCTCAGTCCTCAGGCAGGCTCCCTCTGAAACATCCCCTCCTGCAGGGCACGCAGCACTGGAGCCTTTTTCAGTCCCCCAGTTGGCCATCAGGTCGCAGGCCTGATACCTAAYGCTTGTTACTCATTTCACTACACAATCAGCTATCCTTTGAGGTTCACAAAGGCATCTCTACTTACCACTCAGATTGCAAGCAGAATCATATCCAAAAGTATGCTGTGTATGTGTTCTACAGAACAACATAGTGGCTACAAAAATTGAAGAATTGAATGCATTAAAAAGACTAATGTTAAAAGGGATCCAAATCACTAACCTGTATGGACTGATGGAATCCTAACCATACTTCAGGTGGCAATTCACTTTCAGGGATTGAAAGCAGTAGCTCAAAACAGCTCCTGGAAAAATAACAGACAAATAAACAAACTTCTCAAACATTTTACATTATCATAAAAATAMCATTTGTAGCACATATTGCTCAACGTTCAGATACGAGATGACAGGAGCACTGAATCATTTTTGACTGCACAAATCAGTTAAGAGCCACAGAGTCCTAAAGTCACAGCTGTAACAYAGAAAAATACTCCTTTTAACTACACACCAACCCAAGATGTTAAAATAAAAATCAGCCAGTTCAGTATAGCTCAGCAATACTGGACAGAATTTCTCCCCGTTTCTTCTTTGCAAATAAATTATGACACTRTTAGTGTTTCAATCAGTCTCATCATATTTAATAGCAATGGCATGTGAATTTTTGCACACACAATGTGAATTTAAGTATTTGAATATATCAGGTTTTCCAAATGAAATTGAGAAAATAGAAGGGGTTCAGAGTATTTTAGCATTTTTGAAGTATTCAGCAAATCCAAGATCTACATTTTCTAAAACCAGCAGTAGGGAAGAAAAGAGGTTATTTCTTCAGTTAGATTTTCAAACCRATGCTTAACTTCAAGAAGAGGTAGGAAACATTTGCATGTGTTTAACACTGCCTCTTTTTAGATGAAAGTCTTGGAGAATAAAAAAAAATTATTTGCCAGGAGACAGGATAATGACACTATTGCCTATCTCTTTCCTATACCTATACTTCCTATGCCTATTCCTAATACCTATCAACGAAGTATTGCCTATTTTTTTTCCCGACTTTGGACCATCTAACCCTGTACTGGACATACTAAAAATCGATTATTTAARTTCTAGTTCCCATATAGCAAGAATTCATCCAGTCTCAAAGATAATCTCCTAGAACTCTTTCAAGCCTTGAGATATCACAAGATCTACATGCAACAAAAAATACTTCCAGAAGTCTTATTATTACAAGATCCTGAAAGAAAAAGTGGTGTAAGATTCCACATAAAAATAAAAAACAAACAAAAAAACCACTGAATAATTTCTTTTAAGTTAGATCCAGGTTGCTAGACACAGCAAGTTGTAAAATGGATCAGATTTTGTTCATACCTCCACTCCTGGTAACTATAGCTACGTGAGAAGACAGGACCTTTAGTCTTTCCATAGTTAGAAGGGTGAAGCTTGGGGACATGGAGTTACAGAGATGACCAGGATGCAAACATGAGCTTCAAATCCAAGAAGAATGACTTTCCCCCCACTTTCTTCTAGCTTCTAACAAATACATTCTATAAGTTAACTGTGGAGGAGGRGAAGGAGAAAAAAAGGGGAAGGCCTCATCCGCCTTCTGCCAGAACCAGCTGTCATCTAGGTAGAATTGATTAGGAAGACAAATAGTGAACTAACTACCTGGCCACCTTTTTATATTTCAAAAGCTCTCCTCTACCAAACATGTTGTTTTAAACACAGCTTTAGTCCTGTGAAGGCCTCTACACACTATTATAAATGTACRAGACTGGACAACCTTCATCGCTATGATTTGGTAATTACTTAAACATCAGCCAGGAGAATATCAATCTTCGCTGTGTCCATGAGAAAGTGGGAACATCCAGYAATCCAGTTGCCAACTCTGTCACTAGCCTCAACGTTCTTACAAGAAGATATTTTATAAAATAACTAGGACCAATTTTTCTATTGTACTCTATCATTGACAAGCAGCTACCACTTGATAATCCAGAAAACACCGCCAAGCCTCACAGGAACTGAGCTTGATTTTAACAAATCAAACATGAACAAAAACCCCACAGTCAGGTGTTATCTTTTGCAGTGTCCAATTTTCACGCATGTTACTTAGAAATGCATTTATTTAGAAACTGTGTGATTAATCTGCTTAAAAATTTGATACACACCTCAATTTTGGGGATATTAATCCTGTCCCGTCCACTACTTCAACTTGCAGATAGAATTTATCTGGGATATTACTTTTCATGCACAATTTTGCTACACCAAAAAGACCAGACAGCCTTCACTGCTGGCAAGAGGCAGAAAATGGAATTTACCAACCAACACCACCCTGTTGGATTGTGTAGAGTCATGCTAGCTCAAAGGCTCAACTTCAAGTCTATCAAAGATAGGAGATGTTCTTGCTCATTGGCATTCTTAAAGAGCTGCAGCTTTGGGATTCTCCTTAATTTCTTGTCATTCTTTGCCCCCAATGAGACAGCAGTAGGTCCTTACTATAGCTCCATTTCAACAGACATGTACATCCCTGAATGTTTATTGCATGCACCTAGGAAGAACTTAGGTGTCACAAGTATCCAAATCAAAAYAGTAAGATCACTTCATAAAATTAAGCACCCCACTCTGCCACTCTTCTGCAACTATTTTAACATCTCATTCACTGTTATTAAAAAAGATATCTTGAGAAGTAAATCATTTTACAGCTGTCAGAACTGTAAGTAGTGCTTGGAAGTACTGCTTTAAAACTTTTTCTATCCCAAGCTTCTTGGAGTTATAGACAGAACTAATTACACACCAGGTGATCAAACAGGAACAGTCTACTAACAGTCTGAAAATATTCTATAGTCGCTGAGATTTAGCTACTGAAGAGTGAGCAATCCAACTTACTGGAGCAGACTCCACGTTTTTGCTAAGTTGAGAACGCTTTGTTAGATATGCAAAGATGCTAACGATCACACACAAGCCTCCTCACAAAAGTATCAGGAAAAGCATGCACTGTCTTCCTAGAAGCACGTGCATGAGATCCACAGAGTTCAGCTTAAGGGTTTTTGAGGCAAATTAGTCTAACCAGTTGAATTCAACTCTGTGACTCAGAGCAGAAGACATTCAAGTCTCCTTTGGCTTTACTGTTTAAAGAAAGCATGTGAAAAGTCTCTCAAAAACTTGGAAAGGGAGTTTTCTAGTTTTCCATTCTCATTCCCTTTGCCCTTTCCATTCTGTAATTTCCCTCTCAAYTGCAAATACAAGAACAGCAGAGACTGCAGCAAGGCAACCACTCCCCCACCCTCCACGACCAAATCTCCTGAATATACAAACCATGGCAAACAGTGAATTCCTCACACTGGAAGTTAAAAACAGTGTCAATGGAAGCAGAACTACAAAACAAGAAAGCTATTAATCAACTGACTGTCCCGTAATTATTTTTATTCTTTGATATTCTTTATATTCAAGCTTCTAGACATTTACTCTGTGCCTTTGAAAGAATCCTCACAAGTTAGGAAGAACCAGTACACTACACTACCCTGCTCAGGTTGAAGGTACTGACTGAGCACACTCCCCAGAAAAATAATTTCTAAAATGGTCCAAAAGGAATAGAACCTCCCCAATAGCTATATATCCAAATACAGGAGAGCAAAGCCTTACCAGTGGATGATGTTGAGCAACAAAATGCTCAAGTACAGCTTGTTATAAAAAGAAGAGACATTTACTAGATAATAACAAACATTAAGCCTGGTTGACAAATACGACRCATTTTAACACGCTGCCTATTCGTTTGTTGAGCTTGTGTATTCTTTCAAAGAGTGTAAGATTAGTGTAAGAAAATGTAACTTACAGCACTAGCCTGCCAAGTACCAAAAGCACATCTTCACATTCTGTAGTCAAGTAAGGTCGTGCATTAGCAAAGCTTTGGATGGAGATTCGATAGACTTCCAAAAAAGGCAAAACATGTTCCGACGCGCCCCGACTGCCTGCATACTGAAGCAATGTCTGAGGAAAAAACAAACAAACAAAACACTTATCATTAAAAGTCACCATCTTTTATCTAAAGATATAAACATTAATATGCAATATCATACTGCTAAGTAAAAAATCCAGAGAGAAGTTGTGTTCTCCCCTTGCTCTGAAGTGATTTSCCTGAAGACATAAGCACATGTGTAAGATTGAAATCTATTACGTGTGAAAATACAGCAGGGGAAAATAAAAGGCAAGAAGCTCAAGACCAAAGACAGTATTTCAGTTGCAGCATTTTAAAGATACATGCATTACCCATACAACAAACTTAAAGCCACCAAAAAATAATGGCATGACTTGAGCTTCATATTTATGYAGTCCCTTTTCAAATGTAAAGCTACCCTAGATTTCTGCACCTGAYCACAGCAATCCTACCTTCTGCAGGCACGCTACTGAAGAAGCAGCCTCAAATACAGYTCGTTTCAAAAGGAATAAAAATAGTTTTCAAATAGAAGCAGAGGAATGGCAGTAGCAACACTTGCCCACCTTTTTCTTTTAAAAGTTTCCCTATTATGCTATTTTTCTACAGCTTCCAAAGTAGGGCACTGAATTAAAGACACTTTGGTGCTACCAGGAGCTTCCCTCACAAGTAACAAGGAATATACCTAGCTTCTATTGTTACCAGTTACAAACCATCTCTCACTAAACACCCTCCCCAGCCCAAAGAAACAAACACTGTTCCCTAGAACTAGAATTACTAGGATCAAGATTATATACTTCAAGTTCCAAGTGCCCAATGCTATACCTTAAGTCAAACTGTCATAAAAGCACAGATGGTCAGGTCATGCTAAGACCCTATTAAGTCATTTTAAGTCAAAGATGTGAAACAACCAACTGGCTGCTGAGGCTGAACAAACTTCTCTCTGCATCAGATTACGCTTAGAAGGTAGAAACTAGTGAGCAGACTCTAAAAGCAGCTTACTAAACCTAAATGGAATTAGTGGCCAGAAACAAAGGTTAACTTTCAACACAACAAGGAATGAAGGGCCAGCCACACACTATGCTATATAGCTCGTGCAGTGTTTGTCAATGATCTAACTATACAGTACAAACCCTAAGGAGAGAAGAAGAAAAAAAAAAGTTGAAAAAGGTGTAAAAACACAAGTCAGTRAAAATTAAAACTACTTTGTAGATTATTCTCCTAGAATTCTGTAAGAGTTATATTCTTGATAACTGAACTGCAGTTACAGACAGTCCAAAAGACAAACATAAACAGTTTTAAAGAGGCAAGGGGGAGGGCAAGGAACACAGATAGGCTGCAAAGCCACAGACTGGAAGTTTACAGGCACCATAGACTTAGACACAGCACAAAGATCATTAACAGAAGCTCTCTATGACCAGCAGCCAAATAACCTCGGTACTTCCCTATAGCAGTTGTGTTAAGAATTTGACAGCATAATTTAAATTACACATGACCAATTAGAACCAATAGATTATGTTCAGAAGAACCAGTAAATTATTTATTGGTTAGAACCAATAAATTATGTTCAAAGGCTGTCAAGATATAATCCCTATTATTCAAGTAATTGACAACTATCATAAAGTCATCTATGTAGTACACCCCAGCAGCCATTACCATTACAGTGAATACAGCAGCAGCAGACCAAACATGCTAATGTATGCATTAAAAGAAAAATCCATTAACTATATAAGCCATATTTAATATTCAATTGCTTTAACAGACACTTATATCACATACACAAATTAGAGGATAATCTGTTTTGTGCATTACACTAAAATAAAATATTAAAACACTTTACCCTTATGTGCAATCAGGAGATCAAAGTCTTACAGTTAATATTAGCAAGTTGTGAGCAGTCTTCTTCCTAAATATACAGACATTGAAGCCAAGACTGCTCAAGATAGATGAGAGACAGGAGACAAGTATGAGACTTATTTAACAGCCTATTAGCTTGAAGTTCAAATTTGATTTCTGAACATTAACAACAACATAACAAGCCAGCAGACCATGCTAACTATACTGCAGGAGCTATTAATTGCCCTTCTGCTACCTTACATAAACAGAAATTAAAATTTCTGTTTTAAGTCCACTAATGGAAGCTCCTTGGAAGTCTACATATAAGATGAAATATTTCTGACAAATTCTATAGTTTTAACTAGTCAATCAGAGACCAGTAACAGTTTTACAGTAATTTCTGCCTTCCAGTCCAATTTTAGGATTTGAAGAGAATATTTAAGCATTTTAAGTACGGTTAGTGCACATTCATTCATAGTTTATCCTATCTCTCCTTCTTCCTTCAATTGCARTTACACCAAGGACACAAGATACACCATCCACCTGCAGCATAATCTAGAGATCTCATGGCTTCTCACATGCTGCACTGCTAGAATAGCTTCTTAACTACACCTCTGAGCAAGTTATTGCTTATTAAATAAGTAACAACTGATTTAAACATCTCCAGGCTGCCTGACAAGTTCAAAATATCTGTCTGGGGGCGGACAGGAAGAGATAATTAAGAAAACAAAAATGAAATCAAAAATAAAGGTTAGCATCTCTTCCTGAAGGTAATCATTTGCAATTGACCTCRTCCTCAACTGTGTCACTTTCAAGAATTTCAGTTAGGGTCACTGCATATCTGGAGAATCACAGAATCTTTAAGGTTGGAAGGGACCTTTGGAGATCATCTAGTCCAGCCCCGCTGCACACACAGGGTCACCTTGAGCTCGTGGCACAAGATCGCATCCAAGCGGCTCTTGAGTATCTCCAGAAGAGGCACTTTGATGTATTTAGTTCACTCTATAAGCTCTGTTTCACCAATAACTGCTCCCCATATTTAGAGCAGAGCGATCTCAAACACATACAAACTGTTCACACCAGTTGGCTGGCTGGGTACATACTGAGCTCCTCAACAGACTTGTTTTCCTATAGCTGAATATGCAAAGCATCACACTTGCACAATGTAAAGTTTCTGAGCCAGCCCACTGTTTAGGCACAAGAGTTTTTGTGCTGTCGACCTGAACATCAACCTTACAATTTTTTTTTTTAAATATTTTAATTTATTGTGGGCCATATCATGCAGCATCTATCCAGCGAGGACCTACTGGAAGCCTGCTTGGCACTGCAGGGTCTAGAAAAGCATACATCCAGGCAGCACAGAACAGAGAAATTTAATCTCTTCATATAAATTCACTGAAATTGCTAACTTGTCATCCAAACACTTCATAGTGTCTACTGAATCTTAGAGGGTAAGGTTAACCAAAATGATTACAAATATCCCAGCTGATAACAATAAACTTGTGCTGCCCATTACAATATTCTAAAATGAGACTCTCACTTCATATCAGCATGAGGACATTAAGAGGGTTTGTTTCACATTATTCGCTAGACACTCCTAGGTAGGTGGAAAAAAAAAAAAAAGTAACAGAACCATCTTCCAAAAAATTCCAGTGATCAGGTGCCTATCTATGATGTGTCCAAATAGTTTGGGTAAACAGACCTCTACGTGGGAACTATCTCAAGAGCATCTAATAAGTGTTACCTGCATATTCATTTTAATGCTTTTGATAAAATAAATGCCCCTGAAAATCATTTTATCAAGTCCTGAAACATGGAAGAAAGTACCAGGCTACACAGAGTTCCATGAAAATACGTAGCCACCTTTCTTAAAACGGTATGTATGACTTGCGACATATGTAAAGACAGTGTAAATCTTGCAGTTGGAGAAATAATAGCTCCAAACAGAACTGTGTGTGGTTTGGTGAAGTGACAAGTTAAACAATCTCCCAACAGTAGGGTACAGCAAAGCACTGAACCTGTAAGAGGAAGACCAGGAGGAGAAACCACTTGTATATAATGCACCAGAAAGGCTGCTGGCTTCATTCAGCGTTCAGATTTGCCACTCATCAGAAAGAGAAACGTGCAAGTGTAAAGTAAGTCAGCTAATGTATGCTTATATTGACCTGTAATTTGTAAAATGGCTTGTAAAGTTTTAGACCAATCTCTTCAAAATCATCTTGAAAGGCTCCCTAATTCAGCAAATAAGTGAAAGTTATTTAAACTTAGAACTCACAATAAATGTAGTGGAGAAGGAAACAAATCTAATTAACCACAAAAATAAGATAAAATAATAAAAAACAACTCAAGGTCTCCACCACTAAGACCTTAGCCCAGCTCAAGGACTTTTCCAAAAGTTATCAGTTTGATTCAAAGCTTTCTGACTACAACCCCAAGCAGGGGCTCAGGCAAGATCCTTGGGGCACCATGAACGCTCGCGTCTGCCGGCCTGGATTAGCGGCGCTCCGCGTGAACGGGAACCTCTGTTTCCTCCGCGGCACTCCAGCCCAGACGGCAGCTTCCGTCCCGAGACGGGAAGGAGCAGCGCGYTGCAGATACGGGTGCTGAGCCCGGCGGCCCCGAGAAGGTGCCCGGSGCCTCCGCGGAAGCCGCCCTCTCCCGCACGACGGCCGGGCGCAACGGGCCGCGCGGGCCCGAGGCCCTCCGAGGGGCCACGCAGCTGCAGGCTCGTCGCGGGCGGGCCCGGGCGAGCGGCCGCCCGCTGGAACGGCCCGCGCCATCGCCCGGGCGCGCACGGACCCCGCCGGCCGCAGCGGCCCCGACGGGTGGGCGAGGCGCCCGCCGCGCCGGAGCCGGCCTGCAGCCCGCCCGCCCGCGGCCCGCCCCGCCCGGCCCGGCCCGTACCTGGCAGAAGCCGCGGCAGTAGCCCCGGGACGAGGCCTCGGACACCTCCTGCTCGCGCAGCTCCGCCTGCAGCTGCCAGAGGCGCGCGCGGAGCGTCGCCACCAGCCGCTGCATCTCAGGCCGCGGAACCACCTCGGCCTCAGCGTCCGCCATCTACACCCAGCCCTACTGCGCGTAGGCAGGGATCACGTGACTCGCAGCCACTGACCTCATCGTCCCGGGACGGCGTCACGTGACGCGCACACGTGACACGGCGCGCGCTTGGGCGCCCACGTGACCCGGAATCTGGGGCAGCAGGCAGGGCAGTGAGCGGGAGTTCCTCCCGAGTGACGTCACATGATGCGGCAGGAGCCGTTCAGGGCGGGGGTGGTGGTAGGGGTGCGCATGCGCATTGTCCCTGCGCCGCCCCGTCCCGCCTGCAGCGGCGCGGCCCGCGCTCCTCGCGCTGCGCCCCGGCCGGGCC